ATCGATACGTGGTAAAAGTGTGATATTCAGTTAGAAGGTTCTTACATTTTTTTCCATATTCCAAGCTTTTTTGTTTTCTTGTCAAATGTATGAATTGGCCCTCAAGATAAAACAAAACAAAACAAAACAACTTGTTATATTGCTGTTGTCTTTTTCTCAATACAAACAAACACTTTGAATGTGTTTCGTATGATAATGAGATGTATGTGAAGCATTAGTGAAGACTACCCAGTTTGAAAGGCTGCTGACATTTATTTTATACCTCACAGGATGATGAGTACACACACTTGTACACACTGATTGTCAACCCCGACAACACTTACGAGGTCAAGATCGATAATAAGAAGGTTGAGTCTGGCAATCTGGAGGATGACTGGGACTTCCTGCCTCCCAAAAAAATTAAGGATCCTGAAGCCAAAAAACCAGAGGACTGGGATGACAGGGAGAATATTCCTGACCCTGAAGATAAGAAAACAGAGGTCAGTCTGCTTAAGTCGCCATGGAAATCTTTTTGTATTATTTTACTTTCACTCAGTTATCTTTTCTTAACATAAACACATCACTTTATGTGTACAGTAAAACTTTCATCTTTTAGAAATGTCATTGATATCCCTTTGTGAAGTAGTAATCTCAAATATTTTTCTTTTTTCAGGACTGGGACAAACCTGAAAACATCCCAGATCCTGATGCCAAGAAGCCTGAGGACTGGGATGATGAGATGGACGGAGAGTGGGAGCCGCCTATGGTCTCCAACCCTGACTATAAGGTGAACAGCAAAGAATCATAGCACTTAATATGTCATGACGAGTCAATGGGATATTTTGAGTTGTTGTTGTGTGGAAATCAGCCCTTAATTAAGTTTTAAAGATGGTATTTCCCCAAAAGTTCCCCACAGTGGAACTTAAAATGTCTGACCACAGCAAGCTCATCACTTAATATTGAAGCAAGAAAGGTGTCTACCCCTTTTTTTTCATACTCTTCTTTGTCAGCGGTTGTAACAGCATTTTTTATTCTCCTGACATTAATCTTTCTACTTACACTTGTTTGTTTTCAACAGGGTGAGTGGAAGCCCAGCGAGATTGTTAATCCTGCTTACAAAGGCAAGTGGATCCACCCTGAGATTGACAACCCAGAGTATACAGCCGACTCAGAGATCTACAAATACGACAGTATTGGGGTCATTGGACTCGACTTGTGGCAAGTAAGAAGATACTGTAGCTGACTATCCTGTTTAGTGCTTTGTACAGACAGGCAAACTAATATATGACCTCCAGAGAAGGAACATTTTCAGGCCATGTTCAGGCTAAATTGTTTGTTTCCTTTTACAATTGGGAGAAATTGAGATGCTGAGGAGATGGAGGAAACATGTTTCATTATGTTGCTGTTCTTTTACTTGATCTGTTTGCATTTAGTGTCTGAAAGATAATACAAATGAATGTTTTATTTTTCATGAAGGTCAAGTCTGGTACCATCTTTGATAACTTCCTAATCACCAACGATCCAACCATGGCAGAAGAAGTAGGCAATGACACATGGGGTAAAACTAAGGTAAGCCAAATACTCTTACCTTCCTCTTCTAACTTTCAAACTTCATGTTGGAATTCATAATACTCATACATTTCAGTTTTTAGATATGTATAAACCAAAATTGAATTACTGTGTTTGTCTTATTCAAATTTAATTATCCATAAATGCCTTCTTCTAGAAATGAACATTTATGTTAAAGGGGGTTTGTCACTTTTTAAAAATGTTGTTTTCTTCTTGTCGTCCCCAGGTGGCAGAGAAGAAGATGAAGGAAAGCCAAGAAGAGGATGAGAGGAAGAAACGGGAGGAGGATGACAAATCGAGGAGAGAGGAGGCAAAGGAAGAAGACGAGGAGGAAGAAGAGAAAGATGAGGAGGAGGAGGAGGAGGAAGAAGATGAAGAAGAGGAGGAGGGCATGGAGCAGGAGGAGGAAGAGGAGGACGATGAAGGCACAGACTCTAAACTTAAGGATGAGTTATAAACTCTATGCAGGAACTCCTCAGATAATAACCTTTCTGTCTTTGTCAATGAGCCATTGGAACAACTGCAGACTGAGATGATGGACCCTTGTGACTGACACCCAGGGGTGGGGTTGGGGTGGATTGGGTTTTTTATCTGTGCGTTTGTTTACAAAGCAAGGGAGTAGGTGAAAAGTGGCAATAATTGTTCTTTCCCTATTTCCACTGTGCTACTACTACTACTATTATTATTATTATTATTATTATTATTATTATTATTATTAATAATAAAATTACTATTATCATCAAATGAGGACTAGTGATGGAAAAAAATGTCAAAACGCATGTCAGTGCAGGAAAGCTAAATTGCTCTGCAGTTTATACCCTTAGACTGTATATTCGAATGGACAGTGTGCTTCAGCTTTCTCCCGTTGAACAGGATGAAGCCAAAATATCCCTGTGATTGACTCCAACATTTAGCTAATTTGTCATTACTGTGTTATATTCACAATTCTTCCTAAGTCTATTTTTTTTTTTTTTTTTTTTTTAAGTGACAGCACTGCTGTGCAGTAGAGTTCGTCTGGAAGGGCCACGGCGTTGACGCCATGCCTCTTCGGCTAACAAAAACACATTTTTAACTTACCGATAAAACGGCAAAAATCCCTTCGGTGGGTACAGTCCACTGCAGAACCGATTATTGTGTCGTTTTAAAGCAGACACTCCCAGTAATGGTGTTCAGGGACTCTTGTGTTGGTGTGCGTCACATTTATCCTCCCCATTTTTTGCAGTATTCTGCTAATTTGGTGCACGTCACAGCAGAAGCCGCATTGGTCAACAATGCTGTCAGTCATGGCATTTCATACTGTTTTATAGCTTCAAATAACTAATTAACAAAGAAAAATGACTTGGACTCAAAATAGAGTCATAATTATTATGACAAAACTGGGTCGGAGGTGAATGTATCTGATGGGCTTTTCAATTTTAAAGTTTGACCCATGTCCTATTGGTTAACATAGAGGAAGCAGGGTTTATAACCTATAATGCTGCCAGTCAGCAGGGGGAGCTCTAAATCTTCTGGCTTCACTTTAGGCAAGGCTGTCCATTCCTAATACAGTATGTTTATACCCAACAAAATCTGTAAATTGCCGTATTTGTCCTGCAAAATCTGGGTTTTATGAAGATAGTTTTGATGACATGAAAAGCTTTGTTTAGTATGTGGATGATAGCTTGAAAATGTTTTGTTTACCTCATGTGTTTACTTTGTGTCATTAACTTGTGTTGTTATTCGTTTTTGCAGTCAGTCTGTCTCATTGCACCTGTAAAAGCTTCATCACTCTAAGGATTCAACATGGTATACCATCATTATGCAGGATATTTTGCCTACTCTTTTTTTAAGATTCAAACAAGGGTGACAATAGTGCATCAGAACTGACTCCATGTATTTAACAACCTATTGATAAAAAGCTGTTGTGCATAGAATTGTAATATGTGGTGCTTCAAGATGAAATACCATACATAGTTTTTTACTGTATAGTTAACACTTTTACACTTCAATGCACTTACTGTGGTCTTCTTCTTGTGTGTCTAAATAAACTGCTCAAACTCAAATGTACGTGCACAGTGCTCCATTAGCAAGATATCACCTGTTCATATGGTTCCCATTCACTTTGTTTACTCATTGATTATGTGTATATGTTTCTAATATCCTATGACAGTATCACGGCGGTACCCGACAAATTGTCCCAAACAGTGTCCCAAATATGTTCTGAAAGATGGTCCTTTTTTAAAAGACACATTTTGTACTAATGGTTATAAATGAAGTGGGGAAAATGTCATGTTGCTGTATAAAAAAAATAAAGGCAGATGTGTCCAAAAAGCAGAAGAAAAATATCAAAAGTTACCCTGTTTGATTTGTTTGTATGCAGATTTATTTTCACTGACTGGCTTTCCGTAGAAAACATAATTTTATATTTTTTTGTTGCATTATGTTTTTTCTTTCTCATTCTACTGACAGTTATTTTGCACAAGTGAAGGGCAATTTCTGTGTGTATTAGCAAACCTTTTTTCTAAAAGTTGTTCTTTGTTTCCATGTTCATGTCCTATTTTATACCTTTACTCCAACACAGTTCAGATAAGAAAATAAAAATTCTCCACTGTATTTATCTGACAGTTTTCGTGATGGGACTACTTTGTAGATTCTGATTTAATGTGCAGAATGAATAACCTGATAAAAAATCTGCAGATTAAACATCATAAAATACTGTTAAGTAACTGCTAGAGCTTCAAATAAAAGCATTTGTTATAAATAATTTAATGGTATTTCTTTGACCTATGAGAGCCTGAGTTGAAAGGAGGTGTCTGGCCAATTGCTGAGACTGTGTGCAGGAATGATGTTTTTAGTAGCCAATAAAATTCAGAAAACATGGTTGTGCTGCTTCTAGCAATACTTCAGGGTGATTTCTTTATCCACACACACAGGAGATTCATTTAAAGTACAAGTGGTTTCAGAAAAAGGGAAATTAATAAGGGGATATTTATATCAAGATAGGCTATGGGTCGTGAATGATTTGAAGTAAACAGACAATGTTTACCATGAATGTAAAACGATACATTGAGCACCCCCATGGAATGGAATGATCCTTGTGTTCAACTAAGAGATCGGCCGGTGACTGAAGCTCTGAAGAATGAATCGTTAAAGATTTGGGGTCAACCCTAGAAGTGTTAGTAAGCTTCATTATGAAATGTTAAAGTAACACATTTTTCCTGAGGTAAATGCTGATGTTCATGAATGAAATAATTGGATTTACTGCTCTTCATAATGTCCTTGTAACACTGTGAGTTTTGCTCGATTTTAACTCAATTTTCTGAGCATTTGGTTAATGAAGAGCCCATTCTTTGTTCAACACAATAGTCAATGTTTGCACATAACCTGTGAGTCAGCAGAGAACCAGCCCATCTGTAAGAGATGATGACTGAAAAAGAGATCCTGCTCAGTCTGCTTATCTCCTCTGCTTCACGATGTGGTTGTGTGATCCTTTTCTGCTGTTTGATTTGAAAGGATTGCTCCTTTTTATTTTTGGGGTTCTCCTTATGATGTATTTGCTGAGCAAAAAGGATCCACCCAACTTTCCTAGAGGACCTCCATCTCTACCTCTTCTGGGAAACGTTTTCAGCATTGAATCTAAACAGCCTCACATTTACCTTACCAAGGTAAGACGACATATTATCTTTTCCTATTATTCAGCAAGTTTTTATGATTCTGGAAATTCTATAGAGTTTTTAGCAAAACAAAAGTTTGGTTCAGTAATACTTCACCTACTTAAGTACTTCAGAATCATTCTCAAAGAAAATTATTGAGAACATCATGAGGCTTTGCTCCAACAGAAAAAAAAGTTTTTGTTTTTTTAAATAGCCTAAAACCTAAACGACGAAGGTCATAAATATGCATCTTATCAAAGTCACATGTTTGACCACATGCCTCTCATTCTCTGCTTCTCATTCACAGCTCGCTGATGTTTATGGACATGTTTTCTGCATACGTCTTGGTAGACACAAAACTGTGTTTGTGTCAGGCTGGAAAATGGTGAAAGAAGCCATAGTAACACAGGCTGAGAACTTTGTGGAGCGACCTTACAGCCCGATGGTGACAAGAATTTATTCAGGGAACTCGGGTGAGTCATAAAAAAAGCATTCAAATGCAAAGCATTTATATTGAAGTATTTAACCTGTATGAATAATCTCATGTGATTTTGCTTCTGTCTCAGCTGGTCTTTTCTTCAGTAATGGGAGTGTGTGGAGGACACAGCGGCGTTTTGCAATGGCTATATTACGTACCTATGGTCATGCCAAGAGCTCAATGGAGCAGAGAATCTGCGAGGAGAGTTGTTATCTGCAGGAGTCGATGGAGAAGGAGAAAGGTTTGAAAAGCACCAAAACAGAGGAGAAGAAACAAAAAAATGGAACAATTAAAATCACAAAGTTTACTAACTGAATATATGTCCATTTGTTCAGGTGTGCCTTTTGATCCTGTGCCTCTATTAAATTACGCGGTGGCCAACATCATCTGCCAGATTGTGTTTGGGAGACGCTTTGACTACACTGACAGAAACTTCCAGAACATGCTGAACAATCTGACGGAGATGGCCTATCTAGAGGGCTCCATCTGGGCTCTCGTAAGATCCAGAGAAGTTTGGGCAAAACTGTCAATCTTTCATAGCTAAACCCTACACTTTTGGTTTAATTGTTTTACACATGCCAACAGGAGTGTTACAATGTTAAATAATTAAATTCAATCATAATGAGGACTTTTTACAAGTCCTCATCATAATGTGGTTATTTCAGCATCTTTTTAGTCTGTTTATTGTCATTAAATCTCAGTAAAAATCTGTTTATTTTGGGTTGATAGCTCTTTAGTAAAGATTTCAGCCGACTTTTTGTGACTTGTTAGATACAGTTAAACTGGCACTCAGTGGAGACAGATGGACTCAAAACAAAACGCCATCAGAGAAATCCTGGTACTGATCCTAGCTGACAGGTCATCAGACTGGGACCTGGTACTGATCCTGGCAGGTCATCAGACTGGGACCTGGTACTGATCCTAGCTAACAGGTCATTGAACTGGGACCTGGTACTGATCCTAGCTAACAGGTCATCAAACTGGGACCTGGTACTGATCCTAGCTAACAGGTCATTGAACTGGGACCTGGTACTGATCCTAGCTAACAGGTCATCAACTGGGACCTGGTACTGATCCTAGCTAACAGGTCATTGAACTGGGACCTGGTACTGATCCTAGCTAACAGGTCATCGAACTGGGACCTGGTACTGATCTAGCTAACAGGTCATGAACTGGGACCTGGTACTGATCTAGCTAACAGGTCATCGAACTGGGACCTGGTACTGATCTTAGCTAACAGGTCATGAACTGGGACCTGGTACTGATCCTAGCTAACAGGTCATTGAACTGGGACCTGGTACTGATCTTAGCTAACAGGTCATCAGACTGGGACCTGGTACTGATCCTAGCTAACAGGTCATTGAACTGGGACCTGGTACTGATCTTAGCTAACAGGTCATCAGACTGGGACCTGGTACTGATCCTAGCTAACAGGTCATTGAACTGGGACCTGGTACTGATCCTGTAGCTGACAGGTCATCAGACTGGGACCTGGTACTGATCCTAGCTGACAGGTCATCAAACTGGGACCTGGTACTGATCCTGTAGCTGACAGGTCATCAGACTGGGACCTGGTACTGATCCTAGCTGACAGGTCATCAACTGGGACCTGGTACTGATCCTGTAGCTGACAGGTCATCAGACTGGGACCTGGTACTGATCCTAGCTGACAGGTCATCAACTGGGACCTGGTACTGATCCTAGCTGACAGGTCATCAGACTGGGACCTGGTACTGATCCTAGCTGACAGGTCATCAGACTGGGACCTGGTACTGATTTTAGCTAACAGGTCATCAGACTGGGACCTGGTACTGATCCTAGCTGACAGGTCATCAAACTGGGACCTGGTACTGATCCTGGCTGACAGGTCATCAGACTGGGACCTGGTACTGATCCTGGCTGACAGGTCATCAACTGGGACCTGGTACTGATCCTGGCTAACAGGTCATCAGACTGGGACCTGGTACTGATCCTGGCTGACAGGTCATCAGACTGGGACCTGGTACTGATCCTGGCTAACAGGTCATCAGACTGGGACCTGGTACTGATCCTGGCTGACAGGTCATCAGACTGGGACCTGGTACTGATCCTGGCTAACAGGTCATCAGACTGGGACCTGCTCAGCCTCAAGTAGCCGTAAGCAGCAGGAAAGTTCATCCAGACACATTTTGTGAAGGAGAGAGATTAACTAGCAGAGAGAGAGAACATGAAATAACATGAACTTGCACATCAGTGTATTCATTCTACCAATAGGCTATATAATTTATCTCGCAAAATTAACACTAGACAAATATTCTCTTTGTTTTCTGTTTGAAACCGCCTGAAAACTAACTTGATTTGAATTTCCTGTGGACAAAATACTTCAGTTTTCTCAAGTAAAAAAACGCAGACTTGTTTCCTACGACAAAACAATTTCAGTGTAAGAGATCTGAAAAATAACAGCACGTTTCCAATCCAAACAGCTTTATGATGCATTCCCAGTGCTGATGAAACACCTGCCAGGGCCGCACAATGACATCTTCAGCAACTACAAATGTTTGGAGGCAGCTATCCAAGTCGAGGTTGAGAGACACAAGTTGGATCTGGACCCCAGCAACCCACGAGACTACATAGATTCCTTTCTGATAGAGAAAGTAGGAACTTCACAAAGACAATCAATTTACTATATAACAGAAATCAATTATCTGAGCAATAAAATCCGATGATGTAATTTTCCCTTTGCCCGACAGCACAACAGAAATGGCGAGCTGGGTTTTGATGATGGTAACCTGGTTTTATGTTGTCTGGATCTGTTTCTGGCTGGAAGTGAAACCACTTCAAAAACGTTGCAGTGGGGCCTCGTCTACTTGATCAACAACCATCATATTCAGGGTAAATGCTATGATTAGCAACAGAACAGCTAAGAGATTAGAAAGAAAGGATCTCTCAAAATAATCAATGTCAAATCTTTTATTTCAGTCAAAGTCCAGGCAGAAATAGATGCCGTGATCGGAACGACTCGCCAGCCCACCATGGCCGACAAACACAACATGCCCTACACGGACGCTGTGATCCACGAAATCCAGAGGATGGGAAATGTAGTTCCTTTAAATGGACTCAGAAAGGCCACCAAAGATACAATGCTGGGAGGTTTCTTGATACCAAAGGTCATCAACTTATGATCTAAAGTCTAATGAAGATCAATATAGACATTTATAGAGATTCTTAATTAACTAGTGTTCAAAAAAACACAATAAAATCAAACCAGTATGATTTTTGCCTTTTGTCTGACCTGCCTTGTTCTCATGTTCCAGTTTGATTCACTGATGTTTTTGCAACTTTATAAAAAAAATGTTTTAATTAATTGATAAATGCCTGTTGGTGTTTGCAGGGAACCTCCGTGATGCCCAACCTGACCTCTGTATTATTTGATAAGAATGAATGGGAAACTCCTGACACCTTTAACCCTCAACACTTCCTGGATGCTGATGGAAAGTTTGTGAGGAGGGAAGCATTTTTACCTTTTTCTGCAGGTAACTTCCCCACCTTTCTGATAATTCTATCCGATCATCCATTGAAACAAATCCAGTTTTGAACATTTAAAGCACAAACATTAAACTCCTTAGGGTTTCAGAAACATGTGTTTTACTGTGTAAATATGTGGAGAATATTTTTAGTGTTTCTATGTCTTTTGTTTCTTTAGGAAAGCGTGCATGTCTGGGCGAAGGTCTGGCAAAAACAGAGCTGTTCCTGTTTTTTGTCAGTTTGTTTCAGAAGTTTGATTTTTCGACCTTGGATGGAGTTGAGCTGAAAACGGAAGGAATCACTGGAGCTACACGCACGCCTTTTCCCTTTAAGATCTACGCAAAAGTCCGCTGAACCCTGAAACCAGTAAACTTCAGACTGAGTACTGCAGATTATTATAAACATTTTACACAACACAATCTCCTTACATGTTTAGACGTTGTGTACAATGTAAATAGTGATGAATTTCAAAATATTTAAAGCCAAGATGTAATTGAAATAGTACTAAGACAAAATATCAATTGTCGAAATTTAGAAATTAATTGTTTTTGGAAAATTATAATCATATTTTGAATGTTATGGTAGCAACACATTTCAAAAGAATATGGGTTAGGGGCAACAAAAGACTAAAGATAATTTAAAGCACACCTGATGAAACATCTCACAGGTAATGAGAGGTCACATACTTTATATTGAGTAAAAAGAGGCAATAATCTCATTGTGTGCAGATGACATTGTTCTATACCTGACCAACCCAGAAAGGTCAGTTGCTGTTAGCTTTAGATCTCATTACCAACTTTGGAGCACTATCAGGCTATAAAAAACTTCACCAAATCTAATGCCTCTCTTACTAAATTCCCCAATCTCTACTAAACTTAAACCCTCACCTGGGTGCGAGTGGTTTTTAATATCTGGGTGTGAAAGTCTCTTTTAAACTGAAGGACTTATTTTATATAAACTACACCCCACTACTCTGGGGTAGTAGGGAACATTTGATCTGACGATATACCCAGCAGAGCCATTTGTGCTTTGCCTTATGCAGAGAAAAACAACGTGACTGAAGGCAAGACTTTAATTTGTTTTAAATGTTGTATTTGGCTTGACTTTGCTTTGGCTGTTATTATCATTTCTTAATTCTTAAAATAATTTTAGTATTTTGGATGCAGACCTCTGAGATAAATGCAGCAAAATGATGAAGTGTCAACAGCTGAGCACACACACATCATCTCTTATTAATGCAAGACCAGTTTGCATCGCTTATGACCTACACCACCGTGTTTAAGGTGCTGAATTAAAAAAAAAAAGCAAATAAACAAGTTCTGATTTAAACATTTCAGGAGATAATAGTGTCCCTGTTTCTATTTGTTTCTCGCTGTGTTGAAATTGCTGTATTATTGTAAAAATAACTTGTTTTAAATTGAAATTGGTTCAATATGCAATTTATCAGGTGTTATGTCATTTCCAGTGATGAAATACTTCTATGTAATATACCAGTTAAGTGTGAGATGTTTCGTAACAGAGGGACAATTGTGGATTAGAATGTTAATGATGATAATGATATTGATGATGAAGCTGTTGTTAATGAGGATTTTTTTAAATAACTATTATATACACCTTGATCAATAGCTCTGAGCACCACCTGTTCTGTGTGGACTTTAAGTTCTTTGTTGGCACTTACTGACAACATTTCCTCCTTTCTAGATCTTTGCTTGTGTTTTACTTACTCTGATGTTTGGACAAAATCTTCTGCCAAATTAATTGATGAATAAATATGAATAGGGATATAACGATTCACTCAACTCACGATACGATACTATCACAATTTACTTTACAAAATGAGGAAATGATTAGGGGCTGGAAACCGATTTGTCAGTATGTTTTGGCCTCTTAATGGGTTTTTTTTCTCACGGGGTAGGTGATTGGAGCTTCATCGTAGTGTCGATTAAATACTGCATCATGTTGGTTGTGCAATTTGTGTAGTACCCCGTCTTCTTGCAATACTTGCACCCACTTTTGTCTTGTCTGTTATCTTCTCACCTCTTTCATTTTCTGTCTTGGGGAAGCCAAAATGCTTCCACACCTCCGATTTAAAAGAACGATATTATAGCGATTCCTTTGTTCAGAGGACCTATATGAACCTTGACACCTTTGAATCGATTCATAACGATTTTATAATTCATCTTTACATCCCTAAATATGAATAATGAAGCAAACATTTTTTGGAAGAAGAATTTATTTATTCACAAATAATCCAAAGTACTTTTTTTTTTACTCTTTAGATAAAAAAATTTCTAATTTTTATTAAATACAAACATGAAAGCTCACAGTTTCTGCACTACATTTGATCAAACCTATTTTCACAATTTTCAAACCCTACATGAATCATCAGCTGCAAACAAAATTAATTGTTATAAGTGTATGTAAAAAAAAAAAGAAAACTATTTTAAGTGATTTCATTACACTTTGGACTCCATGATGACTAATAATATCACAATCAAAACAGTAATTTAAACTTTTTTTGTGAATCAAACTGGTCGAGAAGCTGGTGTTGATCCTGTTTACATCATATTTATGATATTACATGAAAGATTATGAACTGGATTAATTAGACCACAGATATTCAGTCAAAAATGGCTGCAGGCGTAAAAAAGACAAATATTAGTACAGACATCCTGACTCCCTGTGAAGGATCTTTTGATGTTATTGTTGTTGATGTTATGGTAGAATTGTCTCTTCAGAACATTTAGGACTTTTACAGCTTTACTGTAGTACAAACTGACTTCAAGCTGTTGGTGTCCAGCACCAAATATAAAAACATTTATATAAATGTGAAGCTTGTCTCATTAGTCGGCTGAATATCAACATTGCAGTTTTTACCCTGCATAGAATAAAGGTCCAGATCTTCACATCAACTATCATCTAAATGTAACTGATTTTGTTTTTACCTTTAAAATAAAATCTAAAATCACATTTTTAAATATTACAGGCTCTGACTTACTCTACATTCATTTAAGTATCTGTCTCAGAGTATCTGTCCCCTGGCTGAGAGCAGGTGTGTTTAAGGTCACTTGAGTGCTTACTTTAAAGGTTTTGTTTTTCTTGGGGGGGGGGGGTTTACTTGGAGGAAGGCACACTAATCGAGAGTGCCCTGCGGGGGGCATTAGAGACCTGCCGCTGCTGAGACAAGAAGGATGGTCCAGGTGTCATCATGGATGACGAGTAGCCGCCAAGACGTGATTCAATCGCCAACTTCTGAAAGTTCACACTCTGAGGAAATGACGATTAATAAAATAAATTAAATGTGTAATCAGGTTTCATTAATAACCAGGTGGTCAATATCAATTAATTATACAGTAATACACTTAGCTTAAATAATAAAACATTTAGATTATAAATTAATTAATTTACCCATTCATACCAGGCTGTGACCATCATTAAATATTACACTAATACACCTTTAGTAATTACAAATAATAATTAACCAGGAGGAGTAGTTGCTAATTAGGTAGTGGCTAATGGGGATCCAGATCAATCAATAACGAGTGTAAATATTAAAAGTAAAAAAATAAAGGGACGGGATTGACTTTATATGATCTTAACACTCAGTGTAACAGTGTGAAACTTGATGATGATGTCATGTTAACTTGTTGTATCTGGCTGTGACTGTCATTCAATAACAAACTGAGTGTCAATAACAAGTGTTAGTGATAACATCAATTCAGACTATAAGGGAAAAATTCACCTTGTTGTACCACGCTGTGACGATCAGCTTCTCCTCGTACTCTCTCAGCCGTGCTTGCTCACACTGACGCTGCATAAAATAATAAAGATAAAACAATTCTGAATTTTGGATCACAAAAAAAATCAACACTGAACATAAAACCACAGATTTACCTCCAGGTTCACAATCTGTTTGTCTCGATCTGCTAACTGGTTCTTCAGAGCCTGAATCTCCGCTGTGGCTGGATTCAACTTTGGATCAAGAGCTCGAATCACCTGAAATCAGAAGAAAAGAAAAAAACAGGACAGATCAATAGTGATAAATCAAACATAAAACTGAAGAAATATCAAACTGATGGACTAAATTAACTTAAACATTAATAAATTAAAGAGAAGCTCTTTATTCTCACGTTTCGAGCTTTCTCCAGGTACATCTTATATCTCTCCTCCATAGCTCGCATGTCATCGTCTTTTTTCTTCAGAGCCGCCATCAGCTCGTCCAGCTTCAGCGCTGAAACACACAACTTAGATATTTATAGACTTTGTAGATGGTGTTTATTAAAAAAGTCAACACAAATTCAGGACTCAATGCAGCAACGAGGTCTACAGGAAAGACAATTAATTCAGCTACTGATACTCAGAAAATGGACGACTGGAATTACTATTTTAATATTAGTTCTCCAGGATTTAGTTCTTAGTCTTGTTAGTAGTTGTTGTGTGTAGATGTGTGGTGATTTGTGTCAGGAGGCTCACAGGTCTGTGTGTTGTCGGGCTGAAGGTCCTCCAGCAGCTCTTTCTTCTTCATGATTTCATCTTGAGCCTCGTTCAGCTGCACCCTGCAGCACAAGAAGAGGAAGAAGAAAAAATAAATGAGAAGGAGGAGAAGTAGAAGAAGAATCTGCACGTTTGCATTTCTAACTGGACAACATCAATACACACTCTGAAAAAAGTGTCTAAAAAGGTCAAAATTCAAACTCACATGTGCGCATCGAGTTTCCTCTTCAAGTTTGACTAGAAAAGAAAATATTTACATTTTCAACAAGTTTAAGTAAAAAAATACTTTTTTGTTAAGTAATAACAAGACACTGTCAAACATCTGTTTAAATATCATAATCTAGAAGTCAATTTTATATTAAACAGCAAAGCATGGCACCATCATTACATTATATAACACATACGACAATGATGTGACATTATATTGCATTATATTACATTATATGACATTTTATAATTTAACTTTAGATGATGTCATATTATATCATAACATTACACAATATTACAACGTGTTTCATTAGATATATAGTTAGAGAACTTTGCATTAGGTGACATTTTATTCATTTATATCAGTGGTTTTAAATAATGAAGTACATCATTACAGATGGATTTTTTAATTCAACTTCTACTATTACCACACTACATTAATGTTGGACATCTTGTTACAATATAAAATCTCTAATCATCAGTATTGATTATCTATGCATGTTTGCACATAATCAATAGAGCAAGAGGAATGCCTTGGGAGCAGTGGGCGGTTTTACCGTTGCTGTGGGTGGGAGTGAGCGAGCGGTCAAAAAGCCCACTGCAGGTCCCTGATAGCTAGTGCTAGTGATAGCTTGTACTAGTGATAGCTAGTGCAATAAATATATAAAAGTTGTGATGTCAATGGGCAGAAATCTGGCAATGACATGAAATACATGTAAGCTCTCCTTCAATTAAGCACTTCTCACTGCTCATATTATACAACACACCACCAGAGTGTATCACACACACTGGTGTAGAGCCATTCGCAGAGACATCACGGTTGAAATGTTCTTGCTATTTGTAAATTATAGGCTGTGCATAAATGTTTGAATATAGAGGGTCTGCTGGCTCCTCTGCAGCCAAAGAGTGTAACGCTTTGTAAAAGCAACCTGCCGTTATGCAGTCGTTTGGGGAAAAATTGCCCCTTTTATATGCATATCAGTGTCTAATTGACAGACAGCCTCACACAGTTAGAGTGACAGAGATACCGTCTGCAGCCAGTGCTGACTGTGCCGCAGGATTTATTCAAGATGTCCTGCACAAACTGATCAGGAAACCAATTCCACCTCTGTATGACTTAAAAATAAATTATCTGTAAAGTTTGTATGACATTAACATGAATGTAATATAACCAGGGGTTCAATCAGTCCTGGGCTGTCAACACTTGGTCCACATGTGTGGAGACAGTCTGGAGCCGTTACTCATGATAAGGATGAGTGTTGCTTTTTCTTCGAGTGTCCTTTCCTTGAGTTGTCTCATCTCTCACAGTCGCCAGTCAGTCAGCCGAATGTGATGCTGCCACACCGCAAACCTCTAATGAACTAAAAAAATCTGGTTGTCTTGGGTCTTTGTACTTTTTAAACATTTTAACCAGACACTTTTGATACTTAAGTAAATGTATAATTGGTAACTTTTAGCTAATTAACTTTCAAATGAAGTATCTGTACTTTCACTTAACTTTGGTTTTCAAGAACTTTTTCCAACTCTGCTAAATATTTTGTTATATTAAATGATATGATCCTATGTTAAGTAATATTGTTATATAATGCTATTTTATAATATATATAAAAAAATGTACATCATAAGACATTCAATTATGTTGTACATTATATGATCCTATCAAAAGCTATGTTATCAGTGATCTTTTTTGATATATAATATGATATAATATTACATTACATCAAAGTCAGATCAAACTGCACTCACGTCGTCTGGTTTCGCCGCCTGACTCTGCAGCGCTCTCTGCAGATCTTCAACCTGCTGCTGCAGCTCACTGTTTCGCTCTCTACTCAGCCTGCAGGTTTATCACCATGACGACACACATCACATGACATTAGAAAAAAATCCATCACAGGCTTTACATCATAAGGAGCAGAGAAGAACCTGGATGATGTCATGGGTTATCTGATCACCTGATCTCTGTGTCGAGCTCACTGCGGCTCTTATGAGCCTCCTCCAGATCGGCCTGCAGGGTGGCGATCTTCTCCCTCTCACACTCCTCCTGCTGCACACGCAACATCCTGTTCTCATGCTGAAGGCGCATAAACTTCTCTCTGAGGAGCACACAGACACACACAATGTCATAACGTGTTTACACTACACTGTGCTGAAAGATTACCTGTGCTAACATATTACCTGTGCTAACAGATTACCTGTGCTAACATATTACCTGTGCTAACAGATTACCTGTGCTAACAGATTACCTGTGCTAACAGATTACCTGTGCTAACAGATTACCTGTGCTAACAGATTACCTGTGCTAACATATTACCTGTGCTAACAGATTGCCTGTGCTAACAGATTGCCTGTGCTAACAGATTGCCTGTGCTAACAGATTGCCTGTGCTAACAGATTACCTGTACTCCAATGGGATTAACTCGGCTGCCAGGTTGTCGTGGCTGGGGCTGCCTGAGGGAAGCATCCCTACGTGAAAGTTATACAGAGGTTAAGATGAAGGATAAGGGTTATGGTGAGGGGTTATGATTCGGGGTGGGGGGTTGTGGTTATGGTAGAGATAAAGATTAGAAGATCAGTGAGATACCTGCTTTGGAAAGCTGGTGCTCTTGAACCTGAGTGCATCTCAGCTCCTCATTTATTTCTTTCAGAGAGTCTCTCTGGATGATGATCCTCTGCAGGAGAAGAGTGAAGGACATCAAAGATTAAGTCGTCTATCCTACAGTATGTGGCGTTGGGTCTAGTGATGTGTGCGAGTGTGGCAATGTCTCTTTCACAGCTGATACTGTTCTGTTTGTTTTACTGTGTTGCATGCTCAACTCCACTCTCATTCTTTTTACTTTTCTTTATTTGTTTTTTTGGTGTCAAGTGACTTTTCAGTATTTAAAAAAAAAATTGTAACTGTTTGTTTATTTATTTATGTGTCTTCTATTTCTGAACTTTAGTTCCCATTGTTTTGGAAACTAGGAGGTATAGGGGTTTCGGCTGGGAGGGTTATTTATGAGGGGACGTGAATGTTTGAAAAAAGAAGAAAGTTGACTGCATCATAATTTCACTGTATGTCACCTCTTTTTCCTTCATCACCGTCTCGTGTTTTTCTTCCAACTTCTTAATTTCAAAGGCCAGATTATCTGCTCTCCTCGTCTCCTCAGACATCTTCCTGTGCAGCTCCTGGACCTGACGGACATTTACCAGATTTAACTGTTGGTTTTATTTATAATCAATACAGGGCATGTCCTCTCTCTCTCTCTATATATATATATATATATATATATATATATATAAAAATAATTAACATCTTTGATAAGATATGCATTTATTTAATCAATAAAGTCTATATACACATTTCCATAATCCTAAACTACATATATCCATACGTAAGGGCTTTCCAACAATTACACTTTTTAAAGATTTATATTTGGGCTTTTTGTGCCTTCAATGGATATGACAGTGGATAGAGTCAGAAATCAGGGAGAGAGAGTAGGGAATGACATGTGGGAAAGGAGCCTCAGGCTGGATTCAAACTTGGGCCGCCCGCCTGGAGGATCGCAGCCTCCATACATGGGCCGCACGCACTAACCACTGATCCACCAGAGCCCCAATTAATCGCATTTTTAATCACACATTCAAAATTTGATTATTTTGCATTTAAAAGCTTGCATGTTCCCAGGGCTCCCTCCTCTCCTCTTTCCCACTCCTCTCTTAAAAGAAATCTGCAGTGGAGGTCATGTATATGCATATCGGGGAAGCACGACACAGACCTGTCTCTTGTAGGTCTCAAGCTGAGCACGGGCAGCGTTAGCTTTTTGTAGCTCATCCTCCAAGCTGACGGTGTTCTGCATGTAGGTCATATTGTTCTCCTCAAGCAGCTTCATCTGTCTCTTCAGGTCTCCAAGATTCTCCAGTTTACGTTTGTATGTTTCCACTGAGGCCTCAAGTATCACCACACGATCAGAACAGTTCCTGTAGCAAGACAGAACCAATCCATAGATCAATCCATAGGCCTTAGCTCCTTGCCCCCAAATTACAGTCAGTGCATCGCCAGATATTTAAACATTATGTTTATTTCCTAGCCCGATGTCTACGCAAACGCATAAAAAACACATACACATGAACAGTACAAGATCAGCAAAGAGAGATAACACGCTGCTTTGTAATAATATAAATAATAAGCTAATAATATCAAATAAAAAAATTAAACAATAAACTTTATATACGTTGCACCTCTCAGAACAAACCTCAGAACGTCTAATTCGTCTTTCAGAGCGCGAGATTCTTCAGCCAGTCCAGTCAGCTCATCGTTTCTGTGCTGAACTTCAATCAGCTGCTTCTCCAGCTCCTCACAGTGAATCCTGTAGTCGTCTTTAGCCGCCTCCAGTCTGCAGGAGCAGAAAGTCAGTTTAGACTGGTTAAGACTAGCCTAGACTAGTTCAGACTGTTTTAAACTGGTTTGTTTAAAATGTTTTATCTAAGCCTATTCTGGATCAAACTACTTCTTTGAAACTTACAGTGACTGGTTTGAAATGGTTCAGACCATCACAGCATCGGCAGTTCATAGAGACGCAGTCAGTGACTCACCTAAAGTTCTCCTCCTGCAGAGCCTCCACCTGCTGTTGCAGCTGGCTGTGTTTCCGCCCTGATGCCGTGCTCGGGTCATCAAACGTGTCCAGCTGATTGGCTCTATCGGTCAGTACGTCGTTCTCTGCCAAGAGGCTGTTACGTTCCTCCTGAAGAACTGTCACCTGTCAAGATATGGATAGGTCTTAAGGTGCAGGTGTCAGGTTCAAGAACAGTCAGGTGCAGGAACAGTAAGGTTCAGGTAAACTAATTAAATATAAAAATAGTTGTGTATTAGTGCAGTGGTTCAACAATTCATAACATTACTACATTGCATGTTCCTTTCACAGCTCAGTCTTAAATAGTGTATTGTATTCTGTTATTTCTCCCTGGGCTTTGCAGAGAAAATCTGCTCCAAAAAAAGGTTCCTCTTCGAAAGCACAAGTTTTTCATAATCACCTTACCAGAAGAAATCAACATTAATTATATTTTTCCAAAAAGAACATCCCTTTTGTTGTCATCAATGGGACATTAAAACTTAATTTATCTCATTCTCAATTTCACCTGACTCACATTTCAAAACAGACTCTTGTCTTCCTCTGCAGTTAAACCTGCCAGTCTCTCAAGCTAAAGGTAACATTCCTGAATGTGACACAGAGGGATCTTTATCTTTTGGTTATACTTACTATAGGTCTCTACACTGTTAGTATCCTTCACAAGACGATACGTTTCTAGAATGTTTAACTTTGTCCAACACAGATCCCAGAGCTCTACCAGCTGACTGAGTCAAAACACCCACATCTTCTTTAAATGTCAAGTGTTTGTATCATTTTAAGCCAAGATATTTATATTGATAAGTAATAATAAGATGATAGCACTGCTGCGGCTAAATAAAAAAATATCTGGACTTCTTACTAGTGACGTCTGGCTTGTGTGTTTTGTCGTGTTTCACCCTAGTCTCCATTTTAAACACAGTTCTGCAACAATATTCAGAACAATCTGAACCTTTGGTGTATGCTACGATGTAGATTCGACACAGAAGTGTAAATCCGGCTTACACACAGTCCCCTCCCCCCTGGTGTCCCAGCTGTTAAAAGCAAAGAGTTATTCTCTGCTCCTTTATGAAAGCACATTTGTTTAAGATTCATTCACACAATCTGTTTATGTATAAACCAAACTGTTAATCTAATCCTAAAACTGTGAGTAAAGCTGAGTTTCATGTTTACACTAGCTGCTGCAGCAGCACTGAACAAGCTCTCTCACATTGGTACATGCTGCCATGTGTTGTCGCAGGAAATGACACATTCACAGGCATGCGCCAAAGTCAACTCACCTGAATGTGTGCGCATCATCGAGTCTCGTGTCTCTCCCTGTGGCCAGTAGGTGGCAGAAGCTAACATGCCCAAATCTGGCACACACTGATGAACATAAAGTGTTGACCACGTCGTGTAAAGTTCACGTACTTAAGAAGATGGATGTCTGTTTGCTAACTGACTCCTTCCCTTAAGTTGACACGACAACTCAGACTAAGTATTCAGATGTAGATCTGTTCAGAACTGACTGAACATCCTATGTGACTGTTAGAACTGCCTTTCACCAGCAAGGGTCGCTGAGGAACACATTTGTATGTGTCCAAACTTTCAACAGTAAGTGGCACTATGACTTTAACAAGCTCTGTTAGCATCTGTTAACATCTGTTACACCTTGTTAGCTTCTGTTACAGCCTGTTAGCATCTGTTACACCTTGTTAACTTCTGTTACAGCCTGTTAGCATCTGTTACACCTTGTTAACTTCTGTTACAGCCTGTTAGCATCTGTTACAGCCTGTTAGCATCTGTTACAGCCTGTTAGCATCTGTTAACATCTGTTACACCTTGTTAGCATCTGTTACATTCTGTTAACGTCTGTTACAGCCTGTTAGCATCTGTTACACCTTGTTAGCTTCTGTTACAGCCTTTTAGCATCTGTTACAGCCTGTTAGCATCTGTTAACATCTGGTACACCTTGTTAGCTTCTGTTTCAGCCTGTTAGCTTCTGTTACAGCCTGTTAGCATCTGTTACAGCCTGTTAGCATCTGTTACAGCCTGTTAGCTTCTGTTACAGCCTTTTAGCATCTGTTACAGCCTGTTAGCATCTGTTACACCTTGTTAGCTTCTGTTACAGCCTTTTAGCATCTGTTACAGCCTGTTAGCATCTGTTACACCTTGTTAGCTTCTGTTACAGCCTTTTAGCATCTGTTACAGCCTGTTAGCAGCCTTTTAGCATCTGTTACAGCCTGTTAGCATCTGTTACACCTTGTTAGCTTCTGTTACAGCCTGTTAGCATCTGTTACACCTTGTTAGCTTCTGTTACAGCCTTTTAGCATCTGTTACAGCCTGTTAGCATCTGTTAACATCTGGTACACCTTGTTAGCTTCTGTTACAGCCTGTTAGCATCTGTTACACCTTGTTAGCTTCTGTTACAGCCTTTTAGCATCTGTTACAGCCTGTTAGCATCTGTTAACATCTGGTACACCTTGTTAGCTTCTGTTACAGCCTGTTAGCTTCTGTTACAGCCTTTTAGCATCTGTTACAGCCTGTTAGCATCTGTTACACCTTGTCAGCTTCTGTTACAGCCTGTTAGCATCTGTTACATTCTGTTAACGTCTGTTACACTTCGTTAGCTTCTGTAACACTTTGTTAGCGTAGTAAGATGAAGCAGCTGCTTTACAGGGTTTAGTTTCAGGGCGGCCGTGTTGGACTCACCTGTCTTCAGCCTGGAGGAGACAAACGATCTGTCGAGAGTTCAACAGGTGATCAGAGTTAAACTGAACAGTCCTGTTGGAGGGTCTACACAGCAGGACCAGCAGAGTCCAGACAGTGCAAGTGTGTGTGTGTGTGTGTGTGTGTGTGTGTGTGTGTGTGTGTGTGTGTACCTGTACCTGTATGTCGAGCTCCTCACAGCGCTGACTTAAAGCTTCTTTTTCTGCTACGAGTTCAGAAAGATCATCCAGAGCTTTTTTCAACTGCACAAGAAAGAAAAAAAGAAAAATATACACTCAATAACAGACATACACACAAAGAACAGACTAATTAATAATAATAAGGATAATAATATAAACAGTAAATTTAGTTTTAAAATCAGTCAGAGAACTGACCTGCTGCTCCAGGTCTCCAGAACGTTCTGCTGCAAAAGAACTGACGGACTCTTTACTCATGAGCTGAGGAGGAAATACATCACTGAATACCACACAAATAAAATATCTTATTATTATTTTTGTTATATTTCTAAAGAATATAAATTATTATATCAACATCTCTAATATGTGTTAGTGATGCACTGACCTCCTGGATGGCTGTCATGACGACATGTTGCACAGACTCCTCCAGCGTCATGATGATCTGAATGTATTCTGCAAGAAGAGGGAGACAAATTCATCAAAAACATGAATATAACAGATTAATGATTAATGTAATGATGATGAAAAAAAAATGTTTGAACTATTTTGTCTCTTCATGTTCAGCTCCTGAGTCCTGTAGGTGTTTGAATGCGACTCAAAATGTAACGTTCAACCCGCACACTCACCTTGTTTCCTCTCACATCTGACAGCACAGCCCAATACGAGCTGCAGCAGCCTCCCCAGCTCCACCGGGTCCGAATGCTCTGCCACCAGGACCAGGTCCGGGAGAGGAAAGTCTGAGATCTCCTGGGCCAAAACCTGCAAGTCAACAAAGACCAAACTATTTCAGAAAACCTGCCTAGAAACAGCAGAGTGATGATGAAAAGACTGTATTGGTCCAATTGGTTCAAGACTGTTTACATAATTTTCTTCCAGATTCAAGGAACTACACAAACTTGTGTTGTGTGAATATATAATATATTTTAAGTTTTTTGTTCTTTGAAACAAATCAACCACCCCCACCCCCCAAAAATAAATCAAATAACACAAAACAAAAGGGTCACAGGATCTGTTTCTACCAACCACCTGAAAACAGGACAGCCCACCTCGTTATAATAATCCAGCACCATCTGAAGGATCTTCTTCAGGTTGTTCATCTGAAAAAACAAAACATCGAACATTTATGTCTGTTGTCTCTTACTTACATGTCTTATGGAGTAAATAAAGATATCGATGCAGACTTTTTCTCTGATCCAGTCTCCCACTTCACATTCCATCTAGAAAATCTGGACAAATACTTTTAAAAATTATATAGAGGCCTATTTTGGAGATGGTTTAACAGAAATCTTTTAATTAAATTTTTTATGAAACACTGTGCTGGTCCCTCAAACTGGATGTTAAAGGTTCTTCTACCACAGTCACAACATGAAACACAGTGATGACATCCCATTCAGAATGAGACAGGAGCATCAGAGCGGGTGAACGTGAGCTACACAGGAGCTGAACTTAATGAAAATAAATCACTTGAAAAAAATTAAATACAAACTGAATTAAAGATCTGAGAATAAGTATCCAGAAACAAATAATTGACAGACCAAGCTGATTTGTACCTTCAGTCTCCAGTTATCCTCCACATCAGTTTTTATACGACAGAGCCATCCATCAGTGAACCACGCTGGGTCTCTGCAACACACACACACACACACACACACACACACACACACACACACACACACACACACACACACACACACACACACACACACACACACACACACACACACACACACACACACACACACACACACACACACACACACACACACACACACACACACACACACACACACACACACACACACACACACACACACACACACACACACACACACACACACACACACACACACACACACACACACACACACACGAGGAGAAACAGAGATCTAAAATAATCTGAAACACTGTTTACAGGCCACAAACCTTATTCAAGAACTTCAGGGATGTTTTAATGAGGAATACAAACTATTGTATTAAATGTATTTTAAAGGTATTGATACTAATATTAAAAGGTATTAGAAACATGCAATTTAAACTCATCACAGCTGTCTTTCTGCTCTGTGTGTGTGTGTGTGTGTGTGTATTTATGTGTGTCTAAGTATGTGTGTTCTTGTTTTTTCTGCCCTTATAGAGACCACAAGTGTGTGTATGTGTGTGTGCCTGTATGTGTGTGTCTGTGTGTGAGTGAGTGAGTGAGTGCCTGTATGTATGTGTGTGTGTGTGTGTGTGTGTGTGTGTGTGTGTGTGTGTGTGTGTGTGTGTGCTCTCACATTTGATGCAGTGCCTGTGATATTCCTGCTCCAGTGGTCAGCTCCTCCACTGTCCTGCAGGGGGCAGGAGTGTTGAAGGTCTGCAGCTGAGAGACAGAAAGCTTGAAAGATGGCTTGTTTTCGAAACCGCCAACTGCATACCACTATCACAAGCAGTATGACTTCCAGTTGCTGGTCATTTGGTGTGCAAGGGACTTAAGTACAGTGTACAGGCCCCTGATCACTACATCTCATCATTACACCTGATGACCAAACATGTCCAACCAATACCTGACCACTACACCTACACGAGTCTTCACTGCATGTGCTGGAATCACAGAGACCAATTGTAAATACAATGACAGACATGCAGTGGACAAAAAACGATTGATGTTCTTGGTGGAATAAGTCACATATTAAAAGACCTTGTTAAAAAATGAGGAGAAATGTTTGCCTCAACTTTCCGCATTGTTTCACAATCTGTGTATCCTTATGGTGCTGTATAGCTGCGTGTGGCTCAGTGTTAGGTGCCGGGCCAGGGTCAGGTTCTTCCATCTGTAGCTTCTGAGGCACAAGCACACCACGTTGGTTTGCCACACTGTGCAGCGCGCTACATGCTTGCACAGGAGGTGGGCGTGCACCTCGCTTCTTTTGCGTCATGAACGTCTATTCGCCTTGGCAACTGTTCAGTCCCTGATGTGTGTGTTAACATCTCCATTTCACATAAATCGAGACGTCTTTCCAGTTTACCTGAGAGTTTTGTTTTGGTGCAGCAGTTAGGCCATGTTATCTTTTCCTTTAGATCATAGACTGTAAACATTAAAGGACGACGCCTGAGTGACGTCAGTCATCTGTTATGACAGGGGGCTCCGGAGGCTCATCACTACACCTGATCACTACACCTGATCACTACACCTGATTACTACACCTGATCACTACACCTGATCATAACTACACCTGATCACTACACCTGATCACTACACCTGATCATAACTACACCTGATCACAACTACACCTGATCACTACACCTGATCACTACACCTGATCATAACTACATCTAGTTACTACACCTGATCACTACACCTGATCATAACTACATCTAGTTACTACACCTGATCATAACTACTGATCACTACACCTGATCACTACACCTGATCATAACTACTGATCACTACACCTGATCACTACACCTGATCATAACTACTGATCACTACACCTGATCATAACTACTGATCACTACACCTGATCATAACTACTGATCACTACACCTGATCATAACTACTGATCGCTACACCTGGACATTGTGGGTCGGAGGTTCCCACCAATCAGAGACAGTTTTAGTACAAAATCAAGGTGAATGAGTGACATGTCGCACTTTGAGTCAGTTGCTCCGGTAACTTTAAAGTGGAGTTTTGTTCCTGTTAGTACCTGAATGTTTTTCTTTGTTTGTGCTGGATAATCTGAACTCAGACTGAAATTGAAGTATAACTTTAGATAGCGCAGCAGGAAGTCAGGTAATCTGACTCCAGGTGAGAATAAACACTCAGTTTAATGCAGTCCAAAGTGTCTTAATGTTTTAATGAATATTAACCTGCTGCGGGTTTGTGCTAACTACATTTAATCTTAACATAATATTAACAAAATGTCCAGAGAGCAACAGTCCACAAATACCTACAAGTAAACGGGATTAAAGCTTTAAATCCAGGGAGGATTGATGTGCGAGGAGGTTTTAGCCATGTATGTTAGCCTGCAGAGCTAATACTTTACTTAGCTTTGTTTGTTAGCCCGCAGAGCTAATACTTTAGTCAGCTCATGGGTTGTTAGCCGGAAGAAACAGGTAAACATTGATGCGTGTTTTGCGGTAAACTCACCCATATGATGAGACTGTCCGTCAGACCTGTTTTATTCTCATCCATTTGCTCCATTTTAGCTTCAAGTTAAAGTATTTCCACCTGTCAGGAGAGCTCTTCCGCTCCGTACCTGCGCATCTGACCTCACCTGCTGCCTGGAGCAGAGCTCGACCTCCGGACGCGTACCGTGCGGCGCCGCGGCGCTCCCTCCGCCATTTAATTTACGTAAGATCTTGCGTGAATGACGCAGATCTACGTGGATTTCTGACGTTCGCCTGCGGTAATGGGTTGAGGTGAAGTGTTATCCTGTACTAGTATTAATAGGCTCCAGTCTTCATATAAAGCCCATTATTAAATGATGTAGGCTATAAACTCTTCTGTTTAACATTAGCCCAGACAAACATGAAGTGTTCTTTCTAATCACTGATCACTGCATCTGTTTCTCTGTGGGTTAATCATTTCACTTGAGCTCAATAAAACCACTCTAACATTAGAATATTTGACTTGACCCTGGACTTAACACATCTGCAGGAGCTCACCTATTTATCGCCCTGCTCCTCCCACTGACTGACCTTGCTATTTTTAGATGACCTGAACCCTCCTAAAGCTGCTGTCTGAGGTGAGTCTGCTGTAAGCAAACAGAAGTTTATCCGATGTCAATCAATCAATCAATTAATAAACCAATCAACCAATCAAGTCTAAGGAAATCTATCTGTCTGTCTTTTTTTTTTTTTTTTACAAAGGTTTTTGCTTTATTTTGTGTCATTTGGTGATTGAACTAATTTGTATGAGCAATGGAGGAGTAATTGAATGAATGTTGTTTCTGGGCCAGTAGGCTAATTTAAAAAAAATACATAAAATGAGACACAGTCCTATTCTAATAAAAACCTGATAATGTAGCATAGAAATAATGTAATAATAATGTAAATTGTGGCACCGTGATAATGTAATACTACTATAATAATGTAGCACAGTTATATTGTAATAATAATAATAATAATAATAATAATAATGTATCACAGATTAAATGTCATAGTTATGTGAGGCTAGGCTGCTTGCAGAGTTAACCCAGGTAAATGATTGACAGGTCAGAATCTAACCTACTTAAACAAAGTGTGGGAGGATCTGTCCTGCTTTGCTCTGATACAGTCATGTGACCCAAATAGTCAAATAGTTTCCTGTGGCCAGATTTTGGATGGGGGGTGGGGTCTGATTTTACAAGTTATGATTTAAATATGTTTTACAATAACACTACATCACAGTGTCTGGTACAAAGAGTTTAATGCAGTTCTGTATCCATTGGAGTGTTCAATGGGTGTAATGATGTGATCGTTAACAGGAGGACAGAAGCAAATTTTAAAGGATGAAGTTAATCATTAACAGTCGCTCCACTTTATGTTGTACAGTGATGCTGTCAGTCTGCACTTCACTTCCTCCTGTCACACACAGTTCACCTGTTTTACATCTGCCATGCACCAACAAAGAGCCATGTACAGGTGAGTCTGCTTTATGTCTTGGGTTGTCTGTTTTGAGTAAGTGAGTCTGCTCTATGTCAAAGTGAGTCTACATTTGGTTCCAGGTGAGTTTCAGCTGAACTTTCACTATGACAACAGAACAGAAGTGCCTTTTATGTCACCTGTTGCGAGTTGTGTTTCTCCAGCAGTTATGCTGTGTTTATCAGAATCAGAATCAGCTTTATTGGCCATGTATGCTTACACACAAGGAATTTGTCTTCAGCAACTGTGCGCTCGATGTACAAAGTTAAACATTAAATATAAACATAATATAAGAAAAAACACTAATATATACAAGGCTAAATAAGATGGGTTCATAATTGTTGCCTTGGTGTCACATTGCAGACAGGACTGTACACTCCCTGATAGTCCTGCAGGTCATCTGTGGTCATCCAGACCTGTGACGTGCACACCTGAGCAGTCAGCATCATGTTTGAGCTGCCAGCAGGTAAGGCAATAAACATAACAATCAGTTTAGGACACACCTGTGGGATGATGATGATTACTTTAATGTGGGTCAGTCTGGTTATGAAAATAATCCGTTCACCTGAAGAATGGCACACCTGGACCTGAAACACCTGCTGTGTTTTATTAATCAAATACTTCAATCCTGAACATTTCAGAAAACAATATTTTAAAGCTTCTGGAATTTTTCTCTGTTCTTGTTTTTCACCTCTCAGATGAGTAACTTTGTCTTTGTCGTCACCTTTTCAGGACTCCAATCAGTCATGTCCGGTCTGCCTGCAGACTGCCAGCTTCCCTGTCCAGACCAACTGTGGTCACCTGTTCTGTGGTACGAGAGTCGACACACATGACCACTGAGACAGTTTTTGAAAATTCATTACTTGTATTAATTTATTTATGATCTTGATCAATATTTGATAGAACTGATGACTGATGTGTTGTTGTTCAGCTCCCTGTCTGATGGCATACTGGAGACATGGCTCCTGGTTGGACGCCGTCAGCTGCCCTCTGTGCAGACAGAAGGTAGCCTACCACTGACATATTTCAAAATTATGATCTCACTGAGTGTGAAAACAGTTTTTCTGATTGTGTTCTGAATGTGTTTCTGATTGTGTTGGGATTTTGCAGGTCAGCGTGTTGTGTCATCTATTCAGCGAAAGATCAGACCGCCAGTCAAAGGAAGTCCTTCTGGAAATAACAGACTACAACAAACGTTATTCTGGAACTCAAAGGAGGGTCAGTAACAAGTAAAAATCTAAACTTTGGCTCTTTACAACAAGAACAAATATTTTTAAGAAGACAGTCTGTAACCTTCAGACAGGAATCCAAACTGATTCTTTATAACATGAAAACAAAGTATTTCTATGAGGAAGGTTGGTAACCTTCAGACAGAAGTCACTTCTTTCTGAATCAAAAGTGTAATTAGAAACTCTTCTCAGGGATTTTCTTTACACGTCAGCTGGTGCAGATTTCTCCAATAGCCTGACAGATTTAGATCACTGGAAAGGTGAATGTTTTCTCTGTGAAAGCATTTGTAATGTTACCTGAGGGATTTTCTGTTCTGAACATGAATGCATAAAGGGCTCAAGTTTAAACTCCTCCCACTTAATCACCTGATAGCACGACAAAGAGAGTGTTTTCACAAATCGCTCTCCTTCAGTCACTTTAATGAATAAACTTTAACCTGTTAAGTTACCTTTGTAGGGTGACTTCAGTGCTGCAGCCGAGCTTCAATAAAACAAAAGTAATATTTAAACTGAATAAATTGAATCCAGAGATAGTTCTGCTTTATTTCCTTGTTAATTGTTTAGCACCAATAAACCAGTGGCAGTAGCTCAGTCTGTAGGACTTGGGTTGGGCACTGGAGAGGTGCCAGATCACTTCCTGAGCACTGCTGAGGTGCCCTTGAGCAAGACCCTCTACCCACCACCTGCTCAGGAGCGCCTGCCGGGGGCGGCTCCGTCATTCTGACATCTCTCCATCAGCGCATGTCCATAGGAGCCTGTTTGTGCATGACTTGCAGAGTGTAAAAACTGAATTTCCCCTTGCGGGATCAATAAAGTAAATTTTAACTTTAAATCAAATTCCTTGTATGTGTAAACGTACTTGGCAATAAACTCCAATATGATTCTGATATAAATTTTTTATCAATATGAATGTTCAGTGTTGCGTCACGCTAGGTTTGGTTTGTTCTTCTCACCTGAACACTAACCCCTCCGCTACAGGTGACAGACTACCTGTGCGATGCCCCCCTACTCCTGCACGTACTGGTCCGGGGCCTGGGCACTATGGGAGGACTGGTGTGGCTGTTCTTGTTCAGAGTGGCTCTCTGCTGTGTGCGGACGCTGGTGTCTTTCGCCTCCTGTTCCCTGGAGCCCCCCTCCTCACCCACAGCCCCTCTGGAGACACTCTCCTCCCTCTGCGGACTGCTGGGGGTCCTGGACGACCTGGCGGTGGTCATCCTGCTCCTGCTCTGTGTTATCAACATCAATCAGCAGATAGAGCCAGACACAGGAGGAGAGAGGGGGTCAGAGTGACTGACCTCAGGACAATAATGAACCAGAGACCTGACGTTGGAAACTGATGTCAAATATAATGCCAGTAGTTTAATGGGTTTATCAATATTAATAGTTAATATCCTGTTTTGACATTAGTACAATTTAATGTTTAGGTTAACATTGATTCATTTTGATGAATTTTCTAGTGTGCACTGTGATGTTATTTCATCCTTTGTATCCTATAATTTATTTTTTATTTGTTAAACATATTTATTTACTTTTGTGTTTATATATCACCAGTTTATCACAAAGTATGTTTTCTGTGATTGATTTATACAACAATATTACTACACACAGTACAATGATAATACTAAACACAGCACTAGTATTATTCTATACACAGTACTAAAATAATACTACATACATACACACAGTACTAATAAGTAAAAGAACATAGTGACAGTTTAGTTGTATGACATCAGTAGACAAGGGTTATAAACTTCAGTAACAAACACACAAACTCTCATGGTGAGTTTCTGCACCAGGCAGCTGCGTTCTCAAACATGCGTAACCATGGTGAAGGTGTGAGGGACGCTCTGAGGCCCCTGGGAGCCCAAGGCCACTGCCAGCTCAGGGTGCAGCGCTCTGGGTGCGGCATCATGGCCAGGTGTCTGCCGTCCTGGGAGCAGAGCCCAGCCACACCCCCAGGGGAGCCGTTAGGGTTCAGAGGATATTCCTCAGTGGGCAGACCCTGGTCATCAAGGTAACGAAGGGGGGCCAGCCCACCTGACGTAATCCGGTCCTGAGCCTGGGAGTCCCGGAACTGCATCAGACCTGTGAGAACACGTAAAGGGTAGATTAATTAGATTATTTCTTTGATTTACCCTTTTACCTGGAGAGTTAACACCAGTCAGGTGTGATTCAGTGCCCTGTCACCTGTCCGTGCTCAGGTGTGACTCCAGTCACCTGTTGTTGTTCAGGTGCGATTCTGATAGACTCACCTTCTCCGTGTGCGACCCAGACTCCCAGAGCAGCGCCCTGCATGCCTCTGAGCCAGACTGACGGGGACTCCTGGATCCCGACACTCACGAAGCGGGACTCAAACCTTCCAGACTGATTGTGGGTCAGAACGACGTCACCGCCTGAGGACCAATCAAAAAACAGTCAAAAACTGCTGCCCTACTTGCCTTTATCATGTCAGTTCTGGTGCTCTTAGTCTCACCTGCTCCCTCATCTTTCTCACCCACCCAGCCCAAAAGGGCGAGCAGCTGGCAGCCATTGCACACGCCCAGACTCAGTGTGTCGTCACGACGACGGAAACCTTCAAACTCCGCCTTCGCTTTGGAGTTAAAAGCAACAGCTGCTGCCCAACCTTATGAAGAAAAAGAGTGAGAGATAGTTACAGACATTAATCAGAATATCAGTCTGTGTGTGTG